GTATTTCTTTATTTTTTAAAAAACTACCTATTTTCATTATGTTATTTACCAGCCAGTATTGTAACATGTATCAATAATTGGATGTAAATTGATTTTTTAAAATATTTAAGCTAAGAATGCAGGCCAGAACTATCAGCATTGAGGTGATAGGAGGGGGGAGCCAGAATGGCCTCAAGTTGGAAAAGGAACTAAAACATTTGGACCTTCCATGGGAACCTTTCTTTACCTAGCCGAAGGTAATTATTTTGAAAAATAGCAATGGAGAGTCTTTCATTCTTTTGAATAGAGAAGAAATTCTGTGGTTTAGTTTGTCAGTAATGATTTAGCAGGAGAAAGTGAGAACATGTGTTTTCTGCTCTGCCACTACCTGTAGTGTAAAATAAATGGTATAACTAGCAAGGGTAAGGTTTATTGACAATAATGAGAAAAGTTTTAGTTCAAGAGTTTAGTTAAAATATTTTTAAAGGATGGATTCTTAACCAGGAGGTCACCTCAGCGTCATGGTGGAGCTTCTTTAAAATGCAGATGTCTCTGCTCCCCCTCCCTGGAGGACCCCTGGACCACCAGGGACAGAGCTCCGGCAGGTGTCTTTTTGGCAGATCCCCAGATGATTCTGACAAACACACTTCCCCTACCCTCACAATCAGTGCCTTAAAGGGGATGTCAGAATCATCTGGTGCTGATGTAGGGCTCTGGGGTGGGGCCTGAGATCCTTTCTGACAGGCTGCCAGGTGACGCCCACATTGCTGGTCCAGAGAACATGATGCGAGGCATTGCGCCAGAGCACTGCAGGTGTGTGCAGTTTAAGTTTAGTGCTTAGACACTGAACACTTCAGTTTATATGCAAAAGATCAACTGAAATTGTGTTATTAAACAGAATAGATTTAATCTGGTTTTGTTATGTTTGGTTTTTACAGGATGTTTTTTTTTTGTGTGTGACCGGTAAGGGGATCGCAACCCTTGGCTTGGTGTCGTCCGCACTGCGCTCAGCCAGTGAGCACACCGGCCATCCCTATATAGGATCCGAACCCGCAGTGGGAGTGCCGCACTCTCCTGCGTGAGCCACGGGGTTGGCCCTTACAGGATGTTTATAACAAAAACTAATACAAGGGGTCTTCAAAAAGTTTATGGAAAGATTCATATTATCTTTTTTTTTTTTTTTCTTTGTCTTTTTTGTGACCGGTAAGGGGATCGCAACCCTTGGCTTGGTGTCGTCCGCACTGCGCTCAGCCAGTGAGCGCACCGGCCATCCCTATATAGGATCCGAACCCGCGGAGGGAGCACCGCTGCGCTCCCAAGCACCGCACTCTCCCAAGTGCGCCACGGGGCCGGCCCATATTATCTTTTAATTTTGTTTCTCCACAAGTTTTTTGAAGTACCCTCATATAGGACTTTTAAACAGATTTTTCTGAAAATACATAAAAACTAGAATACTGTTTAATTCTAAATATAGATTTGTAGTGTACTTATTAAAGTTTAACAACCAATTTTCATTTTGTAAAAGCTAAATAATTTGACAGCTAAATGAACATTTGTTTCTTTTTTTGTAATTAGTTCTTCTGTGACATGACCTGTCTTATCCTTTGTCCCTTATTTCTCTATCAACCTCTAGAGAAGTGGGATTTTACATATTTGTAAGAGTTGCTAATGAATTAAGATCAAAACATGGTAATTGTTAAGGCGTATGGGGCATTTTTTACTGCTCTCTGATAACAGCCCAAAGGGGGCTGTGGGAGAGAAAGCCTTGCCTTGGAAAAAATACTTCATCTAAATGCTCTGTAGCTTTTTTTCTCAAGCCCATTTACTATCCCTAAAGGGTAACTTTTTCATACTCTTGAGTAGTTCCAGAGTTCTGTTGAATTCACCAAAATGCAATCAGCTCTGTTGAGCATATGTAATACTTGGGAACATTAACATAAATCTCAAAGCTCTTTACTGGGGTTCCATTTAAAGGGAAGTCCCAAAGAATGATATCATATTTCCATCCAAGACAGCCACACGTATATTCAGGTGCAGGTACATTGCTGACTATAGGAAATGACACAGATTGGATATCTACTTTGACTCTCAACTGATTTGTGACTTACACTTGGTGTATCTAAATATTGAAATGAAACCCTTTGCAAATAAGCTAAATTTATGTACTTAGTATTTAAAATATTCAAGATAATTTGATTTCAGAAGACCCTCGTCATCAGAAATCAGGAAAAGATTTTTCAATGTAAGCTCAAACATAATAAATTTAGGTGGGCCTAATTAGGATATGACTCTTACTGCATAATTCCTTTAATCTGCCAGGAATTACTTAGGTAAACTAGTGATTATTTTCCTTTCTTGGATGAGGGAAATTATGCCTGTCAAAAAGAAGAGTAAATATGGAAATGTGTTCATAGTTCAGTTTTGAAAAGTGGACACATTGAGTCAATGTCTTGAATGCTTCATATCTTTCAGTAAATAGCGACTAGCCAACAAACTAATTCTTTTCATATGGGCATTTAATCTTGTTTTTTACAAGTAAAATCTTATGGGGACTGGCCGTATGGCTCAGTTTGTTAGAGCATGGTGCTGAGAACACCAAGGTCCGGGGTTCGATCCCTGTACTGGCCAGCTATCAAAAAAAAAAAAAAAAAGTAAAGACCTATTTGCTGCTTTGCTATTTGGGTAATTATTCCTACATTCAGCACACTTTTTTTTGTTGTTGTTCGTTTTAAGACTAAGGGAAATTTGGAGTATGTATTCTCAGTTTTCAGGATGCTTTTGTGTTCTAGAAAATTTATTTTCTCTCCTGATTTTAAGTGTATACTCTAGCAAATCAT